CCAAAAAAAAAAAAAAAAAAAAAAAAGGTGGTATGTTATGCATACCTTTCTTCACTTTTCCTGTTATCACTATCAATCTGAGCTAAATATACCACACAGTTGTTAAGTACATAGATTTACCTGGCTTAAACTGTAGTTTATAAACATTTTTCTAAGTTTTCTTGTAAAATGAGGTTAATAGTTCTGACTTTGGGGAGGGGTAGCAAAATTAGAGAGATGTTGTTTAAGGTTACAGACTTGCAACTAGTGTTCCCTTGTAAGGATATATAAAAATTTATATATCCAATCCTTTTAATTAAAATGTTGGTTGATTCAGTTGTTCCTTTAATGCCTCTTTTTCCCGTCATCCTCTAGTAGTTCTGTCCCAGGATACAGACTTGAGCCTCCTTGTAAATACATTCTTTCCATTCCATTGCTTCAAATTCTAATTATGTAATGATGACTCCCAGTTAGTCCTGGTCTAACCCCAGAACTCCAAAATCATGTATCCAACTCCCTACTTGATATCTTCACTTAGGTACTTTACAGACACCCTTCAACATAACATGTCCAAAATAGAACCTTTGATTCCCGTTCTCAAAAAACCTATTTCTTCCTGGGTCATCCGTATGTCAGTTTAAAAAAAACAAAACCATTACCATGGACTCAGTTACTCAAGCCAAAACCTAGGAGTCTCCTTGATTCCTCCCCTTTCTTCACTTCCAACATTCAATTGATCAACAAGTACTCAACAACACATCTCTAATCTGTCTACATCTCCTCTGTCTCTGTAGACACTTACACCCTCTTGCTTCTAGGGTACTGTTGCTTCGTTGCTTGCATTAACCTCCTAATTGATCTTATTTCAACGTTTATTCCCTATAGTTTATTCTTCCCTAGCAGTAAGAGTTACAAATCAGATCGTAATGCCCCCCTTATGTAAAACTCTTCAGTGGTTTCTCATTGAACTTAGAATAAAATCAAAACTCCTACCGTGCTCTTCTTGATTTGGCCTCTGCCTACTTCTCCCTCAGTTGGGGCTGTTTCCACTCGATTCGTGCTCCAAACATAATTCCCTGCTTTAAGGTCCATATCAAGCTTTTTCTACCTCAGGGCCTTTGCACTTGCTGTTCCTTCTTCCTGCTCTTCTACCTAACTAGCTTCTACCCATCTTTTGGACATCTGTTCTAATGTTACTACTTCAGTGAGACCTTCCCTAACCTCCCTATCTAAAGTATCTCCTCCCATTCCAGTCACTACACTGTGTCTTTATTTTCTCCATTTCTTTATTTTCTTCATAGCATCTGTCACTTTCAAAAGTGGCCTTATTTTTACCTTCTTTTACTTGTCAGTTGTCAGTCTTCTTTCAGTAGACTATTATAAGTTCCATGAGGCTGACTGTTTCTATTACTGGCCTATCCCCATCACGTAGGAGGTATTAGGCACTCAGTAATTATTTGATAAATGAATGAATGGCATATGAGTTTTTATGATCTTTCTCATACCTCTTTAACCTTATGTCTCAACAATCCCTGGCCCACCCTTCATTCCAGGTATACCAAACTACATACAAACCCATGGCACAATATGTATTACTTCTATACCTCTGTTCAGTTTCCTCTTCCTGAAATGTCTCCATTTTTGCCTTGCAAGCACCTATTCATCTTATGGTGCTCCGTGAAGCTTTTTTGAACCTACCCTACCCTCCCTGCACCCCACTCCGGTGGGAGTGACCACTTCTTTTTTCGTAGCCCCTATGAGTTTTAACTAAGTGTACTGGCTTACAGCCCAATGTCCCAATAACTAGTATTTTAATCTAGATCCAAAACTGCTCTTTAGGAAAAAAATGCAGCACTTAACAGTTAAGGTATTTTTGTGATACTAAAAGCAGTTAGTAGTATTTCTTTATTTTTGTGTGTATAATGTCACTTATTTTTAAATGTTTACCTGTAAGTATTTGATAATGCTCAGAATTAATAAAGTCCTGTCATCCAGAAAGTTTTTATGGCTCAACATGTCTCTCATAATAGATAAGAAAACCAGAAGTTTATTTTAATTTTTAATCTACTAAATTGTTTCTCACAGGGCTATGGCATTTCCTCTGTGCCATCTACTTCTAATTCTAAATCCATAAGAGAGAATAGTAATGCTGCTATCATCAAGAGATTTAACCATCACAGTGCCATGGTCCTGGCAGCAGGTCTCAGGAAACAGTTAAGTATACATGCTAAGATGCAGTAACTGGGTTTTCCATGATAGCCAGATGGAGTTTTGTTGTTGTTCCGCCTGTGGTTTTCAACATTAATTTTTTTTCCTTTGTTTTCAGAGAAGCACAAAATGAGCAAAATGGCGAGCCCAGCAGCATTGATGGAAATTCTGGAGATGTAGATTGCTTTCAGCCAGCAGTAAAAAGGGTATGGGTAAAAAATCTGGGACATTTACAGCTCACATTTCTCCAGATACCTTATGTAACTGCGAGTACCTTATGTTGGCCCTTGATCAGTTCAAATGACTCAGTTCCTTCTGACCAAGATGTTAAGCATTTGGCTTAAATTGTAGGACATTTTAAAGAGTACTTCCTCAGTTTTGGCCTGCTAGCCTGCTTTCCATGGACTCAAGTCTGTTAACTGTTTTTATTGTCTGTTTGTTTGTTTTCCTTCACCTGTAGACACATACACATATTAACATACAGTTTTATTTTCTGGGAAAGAGTATTTAACA